GTGCTGTCAAAATAGGCATCTTGCCTGTTGATTAGACATAAGGTGTGAGCATTCCAAGATCAATATTATTAGTAAAACTTTTCCTTTAAAAATCAGACGTAATGGATAAATGGCCTATAACAGGTACTAATCCTGATGAAAGGCCAAAGAAACAAAGGAAGACAATATTGTTAGAAACAAAGCCAGAAGGTTTTGGTTTCACTTAATAGTTGTAGGTAAATTCAAAGATTTTGGGAACCTAACATTGATGTTAAAAGAAGTTTATCTGTAATTATCTAAATAGATAAATTAGATACTGTATACAGATATAGCTAAGTAGATAATTAAAATACTGTATAATTGAGTAAATTTGTAAGCTTTAAGTTTTTTTGTAAATGTTGTCTTCTTGTTTGACTCATAAAACAAGTCCTTCTAAGAATTTCCAAATCTGCACACAGAAATAAGACTACAGGAGACCGGATGACATGGTAGGATGTGTAAAATAGCCCCACTAAAGAGCAGAGGTGCAATATGCATGCTGAGAGAGAACTTGGTCAACGTTCACAGCCCCAAGACTTTTCAACACACTTTCCCTAAACACACTGGCCGACCTCTCGCAGTGTTCAAAAGGGAACTTGATGAGCACCTTCAAAGGATACCTGATCAACCAGGCTGTGACACAGGCTGCAAGCAGCCTCATCAAATAGTCACATCAACCAGCATGGTGGATCAGACCAGGAACTAGGAGGCCTGGTCAGATACTGGGCTATGGGGACATTGATTCCCAAAATCTTCAGCAGGTATTTAGGTAGGCAGTGGAGGTGCCACAGGTAAATTCATAGAGCACTGTATGAATGTCAGAGATAAACGGGTGTTAAATATCCTCCCACCATGTATAAGAAATATTGCTAGAACAAAAGTGGAAGTCTTCAAGAAAAAACTACAAGAAGTGCCAGACCAACTGGACTGTAGTGGATATGTGGGCCTTTCCAAGCAACAGCCTATTGGACCAAGCTCTCACAAGTCATGCCTGGCCCCGGGGTTGACTTGTAAGCGAGGCATGGGCCCAGGAGTTCTTCTACTCCCTGGCTGAAGAAGTAGATAGACTGAACCTAAGTTGACAGGAAAGGACAGGGGTAATCATAGACTAAACAAAAAGAAAACTAAAACGATTCATATCTACACTTCACAAGCAAACGCTCAGGCAAGAGAGCTGGCATGCATTTGCACTGAGACAACATGATCACCCGAAGATTTTTGTAAATAAGCAAACTCCAAGGTCTTGATGTGGAGACGAGTCCCAAAACAGGGCCAAGGATGATGTCCTACTAAAAAGGTACAAAATTGTTTCAGAGATATGTTTGATGTCCAAGGGTTTTTATAATCGGTGCCCGTGAAAAAAATCTTCAAACAAAGCTGTAGAAGATTGTTAAGTTCAGAGATTCAAGAATGAATGGGCACTGCACTGTAAAGTGAACACTAAAAGAAGTTATGAAGAGGGACTAGATGCGTTAAATAAGCCAAAACTAGGAAATGCTGTAGAAGAAAGAGGCGATATGATCCCCACTTACAAAATAGTGACATAAATTTACCAAATTGACAGAAAACCCTGAAACCGGCAACCTGAAAAACGAGAGGTTGTAGAGTTCTTGCTCTTAAAGACTTGATAATGGTTTAGGACGGACCGAAATGTCGTCGTTTCTTCTTCTGGTTTGTGGTTTGGTCATCATATCTTCAGCCACGTTATTGTGATTCATCGTTTGGGAGAGCTTGTAGATTCAAGCTAAGGAAACAAAGGTGCCAAAAAATTTAAGGGTTTTCATTTGCAATGAGAGTGGTAGACAGTTGGAACAAGTGAGAAAGTAGTGGAGGCCAAAACAATCAGCAGCTTCAAAGCATTATATAACAAGAGTACTAGGAAGATGGGATACCATGAGCATAGCTCTCAAACTGTAACTACATTTGGGTAATTACACTTTGGTAATTACTAAAGCATGGAACCCCCTTCCCTGTGTAGAGACCAATAATAATAGCCAAACTAAACTGAATTGACCTTGATAGAGCTGTTGCCAAGGGTAGTAGAGGGTAGCCTCAAACCCTGAGAGAGTACTATTAGCTAGTGCTCTCACCTGGGGACGGTTGATGCACGGAGTGTGCCGGTTGATTATGTAGTTCCCCCAAAAAGAATGTTGGCTGTCTTAGTGATACCAGTGATCATTTGAAGTGGTATTTGAGTTGTCAAATATGCTTTTGATGTAAGTGAGCAATATCATGCAATGGCAAGCAGGTATCAGGTTGAGGAATGTTCTCTCTGTACTTTTTGCCCCTGGACTATGGGGGACAAGACGATTTGTAAAAAAAAAAAAAACATACAATGAGAAAACTAATAGATGATGATCCATGTTTTATTTACTTTTTTTTTTGTTCTCCACATCATTGTCAGCATTAAGGTGCTCTTTATTACTGTAAAACAATTAAAATCGTGATGGGGCTTGGTCACTAGAGACCTTGATCACTAGCGGTAGTGTGAGTGAACCTAGTTGGTGTGTCGAGGGAAGGTCATGGGGTGGGAGTGGGGGGTTTGCTCATAAAATATTCAAAATTGAATTTGTTATACATCATTTTGTAACTAACATACACGAAACTCTTTGAGTATGTTGATGGGTTGTGTTAATTATTCTATTTTGTATTGCGTACTATGGCTTGGTATCGAGTTGCTTGAAATGTTTTCTGTTAGATTTTTTTTTTTAACACTTTTGCGCTCTCGGCGCTCAAAAAAAAACAATACCCCAGATGCTTTCGGCACTTCGCGCGCCTATGCGGTAAGACCGAAAAAGTGTACACTCTTTTGACTGTCCTGACAATAATTGAAGGCGCACGTATTTAAATTTGGTATCACTGTGTTCGCAATGAAATTGTCTATAAGAGCATACCTATAAAATGCCGCCCAAGCATAAGGAGTATCAACACCAAATAAAAAACTATGCAGATCACTCGCCGAGAGCGCCAAACAGCAACAAAATGTTTCCACTCTCTTAATGGTTGCGAAGCCTACAGTTGTCCTACATCGCTAATTTTGGTATCATTGGAATCGCAATAAAATTCTCTACACGGACATATGCATATGAATGTTTAATATAGGTAATTGCCCACCCGCAAGAGTGTGTGAAGTGGAGAGTAGTTAGCCGCGAGCGCACTGGCGAAAACACGGGGGGGGGGAAATCATACTTGGAAAGTTTATACGTTTCCTGACCCTACTTTTCTATGTACGTATTTCTTTTTTATACCAATGTGTTCGCAATAAAATTTTCTATAAGATGAACTGTATAACATTTGTACAAAGCATGTGTAAGAGAAGCGCCAAATATAGAACCACGTCGCTCAGTATGCGTTCGCGGCAGAAACGAACGCATTGTTTTCGTTCGTTTGATGTTTGTCATGTTTATACTTGTTGAAACATTTTATAATTTGTATGACAGTGATCGCAGTAAAGTTCCCTACACAGACATATATATAACACATACAAATATTTCCCACGGGTTGGATATATCAACGGCTAAAGGGAACCCACTGCCACACGCTCGCCACACCCCCAAACATACTTTGTGTATTTTTTTTTTACTCATAGAAGTTTATGTGATATAATATTCATTCTGGTACAAAAAAATTCGCAAATAAATTCTCTACAAAACAAAAGTATCCCAATCCATTTCGGTTAAAAAATGGAATTTATAGAAATATTTTTTCGATGGACGAGAAAAGTAGGCTGTTATGCGGAATCGTAAGAAAAAACGGCGACGAGTTATCTCTAATCTAAAGCGCGAAAGTGTTAAGATTTCAGAAGGAAAAAAACTTCACCCTTGGCATGTGGTTATCATCCAAGGTGCTACTCTGCTTGTATACAATAATAAACATCAAATTATACGTTTACATGGGAAAGTAAGGACAATAATAATAATAATGACAATAATAATAATAATAAAGTAATGGTCTTTTCTGGTGTGATGCACATTAGGAGGAAGCCAGATGGCAGGCATTGGGTTAAAGTACACATGAATACTCTGTTTGCCGACTCGTTTTGTAGGGGTGACAAGTTTGATGTTCATTAGGTGATTTTTATGTGCTCCATTTCACTTCAGTTTGCATGTGTGCAAAATGCCTTGATTTTTGAGTAGACATAAATGACCGAGTTTTTTTTATAGGCCTACATTGTAATGTGTGCACCTGTATTGCATGCAAATCTGTTCTTGGCTCAGCTCAAAGGAAGTATCTTGCAACCCTGCCTTTGCTGCTTTGTCTAGTTATGTTTTCAAAAAAATTTGAAATGATTCAGACATTGATGGGAAAGTCTAAAATGTGATTTGATGATAATTGCAGTACTCTGGTATATGATAACCTCAATGAATAGTAAGCAATTAAAATCTCTGATGTATGAATGTGTACACATATGCATATGTACAGTATTGTAACCATAGTTACATCATTTGTAATGCAGCAACAGTAACTACAAACAACATTTAATGATTGTGGCTTTACCACGGAGATCAACAAATGACTGTAACCATACTTCTAGAATTTTAAGACTTTTATTGGTATAGGTTGAATTAAAAAAATAGTTTAACCCTGTTACCACTCTCGGTATAAATTGGATCTAAAAATAGTGTTGCAGTGAAGGGATCAACTACTTTTTCTTTTTTACATAACTTTTACTCCTGTCATTCTCCTATATTCTTGACACACATTTGTTGACTTTATTTACATTATACTTCATTTACAATGAGATTGAATAAATTTCAAGGGTATATAAATATTGGTTGTTTTGTCTTGTATGAAAATGTATTATTGTACCATATTGTATATGAATGAAGATTCTAGTAGTGGTTGTAAGTACAGTAGTAATGAATGGTTTTCAATTATTTACTGATCATTTAATGTGCAAAACCTTGTTACAGCACTGTATGAGAATTTGAAAGTGACATGTTGTGTGACATGAGAGTAATGTGCGGACTCTTCTCTTGCAGGTGTTGTGAACGACATAGGAAAGAGAAGAGAACGAAGAGGAGAGATATGATCACAAACTTCCACATAATAGTGCTGAAATAATGGAATATATATTTCTTAAATTTAATTTTGGAAGTGTGTATTAATAATACAGTAATAACAATAATTTATGAAAGCTTTACAGTAAAGCCCCCTCAAGATCATACAAAAAGTTGCCAAAAATGACATATATCAATGGAAATTTATGTTAAAAACATTAATTACCTATGGAATCAAGAAATGCTTTGTAGTAGAATACCATCTTCACTACATGCATTATGGATTTGTGTGTATGTGTGTTCCACTATCTGGGAGCGAGAGAAGATTGAATAAGTAATTCTAAATCTCTCCTGTACATAGTAGGAAATGTTGCCCTCAACTTCTTCCCCAGTAGAGAATGCACCTACACCATTGTCTCTCTCAGGCAATCTTGTCTGCCAGCCTCAACATTTAGGCCATGCAAAAGCAGGACAGGTGACAGATGAACCAAGAGAAGAATGCCCAGTATCACCCAAGGGGGAATTTGGGATGTGCAGAGTAGATGACATTGGCCAGGAGAGGGGGGATATGATGCCACCTCCAGATTTATGTGCCAGTGATGGACTGAATTGTGGTGAACTGCAGAGATGGAATAATAGATCTTGTGATGTCGATACAGAGGTCACTATTGCTCAAGCTGCCTGTGATACTGCATTTGTGACAAGCATGTCACAGAGTGGAGATAAAGGGGAAGAGACTCAGGAAGGAGCTTGGAGTCTCCCTCCTCACTTGTATGGAGACCCTTCAGGTGTGTTAGAAGATTCTTTTGAAGATTGTGTGACAGTTGGGACCAAGGCAAGTTTGCCTGACCTATGTGATACTAGTAGTGGTGCACGCAGCCGTGTACATCTTGGCTGTGGGTTGCAAAATGATAATGACAAAGATTTTGTGTGTAAACTTTTATCTCCTTCAGCAGGAGGTCAACCTGGTGATGGTTCTGCAAAAACCACTTCAGTCTCTCAAAGTGATGGTAAATGCAAAAATGTGGATGAGGATATGACGGAAGTAGAGTCGTTTAGTTCTAGTACGAATAATGATTCTGGAGAAACAATTGTTACACACGGTGAGAATGGAGCAAACACGAGATTTTCTGCAGCTGATAGTGATAAAGCCAGTGCTGTGAATTGTGAACTTGGTAATGAAGAAACTGATACTTCCATTACGGACGAAGAAAAGTGTAATAGTAGGGGTGATTGTAGTATAGGAGAGAAAGTAAACACCGGCGACAATTTTGATTTTGGGCATAAAGATTCTTGTGAACCTGAAGGGGCAGCTGGCCCGTTAGAAGATTATCTTCTTCATGATAACCAACAAATATCTTTAGTGGCTTGTGGCATAACTCAGTGTGATCCGAGTTTTCAGCAGGATGTCGAAATGGAAGACATCTCTGAAGACGAACAAGGCATTAATCTAATTAAGCACAATCTTCACCACTCCAGTCACCCTATGTTTAACAAATGGCCGTGCTACTTCTACATAACTCGGGAGCATCTGCCCAGCTTCTCCATAGATTCTCATGGAAGACATATTGGATCTGTAAGGCTTTACCATTACTGTATTCATATTGTAGATTATTGTTTTGAGTCAAATGTGGTTCACTGATTTTATCATACTTGCTGTGCCATCTATGTTCATATTGTGTGCCATGTTCATATTGTTTGAAGGTGCATTGTTTTGCAGAGTAAATAAGTTCCAGATGTTTAAATGTGTGTGTGCATGTTGTTTTTTGTAAGAAGTGTATAATGGGTAAAATTTTCTACCAAATGCCTTAGAACTGGATAATATGAATGAAATGGCGTCAGTTTAATTCTTTTCGGTGGAATACATAAATTCTCGTGCTGAATTTTTTTTTTTTTTAAGTATAGGTTAGACGTGTGTGAATGAGTTTTGAGTGTATATATAGGAGCTGCCTTGTATGGGCCAATAGGCCTTCTGCAGTTTCCTTATTTCATATGTTCTTATGATAAAACTTTTTTTATGCAGCAAAAGGGAGTACATAAGTATGATCCTGTACATGCCATGTTCAGTACTACACAGCTTCTGATGTACAGTACTGTATATTTCAGGTTTGCTTTTAAGATAAACTGGTTGCCAAAAATTAATATTTTGGTACAAAAAAATCTTGGTTATACCTGTAATAAAGATTTCATATTACTAGAGTAAAATAATTATCTATTGTTGTAGCTGATATATGTTTTTACATTGATACACCACACTGTATTTGGGTATTACTGTGAAGCAACATATTATATATAAGTTTATCAAAATTCTAAGTTGTTAATTATTTTTACAATATAGGTTTGAAGATCTATAAAACTTAATATTTTGCATAGAGTAGTGACCATATGTTTCAAGATTAGTGCAAATTGACTGATTCTTGACTTATATATATCTATTATTTTTTTATGAATTGGAAATACTGTACATTAATATATTTTTTAAACATACCTGCTATATTTTAATTAAATTGTCTTTCATAAGACAGCATCCATTGAATATTAAACCTGCTATAGAAACGATCTTCCCTTCATTATACTAGTCAGTTCGTCTTGGATTCCATTATTCAACTGATATTCCTTGCATTCATGTATTATATACTGTACTATAATAGAGTATATAATATATATATGAGCAACAAACTAATATTTAGGGTGGAGAGAGCAGCAGAAAAGATAAACATAATTGAGAAAAATGGTAGGTTTAAGAGAAGGCCTCGCATTGCAGGAAAATATCGGTGATTTTAGTAGGATAGGCAAATACTGTACGAGAAATAATAGCCTCCCCCCCACCTGTACTCTGTAGCAAACATTGTGCACTGGGTTAAATTCACGATGAAATTGTCGTCGTACACCGAAAAATATGGATTACTTTGTGCACAGCAATCTTAGCAGATGTCTGCAAAAAGGGAAACATAGCTCCAATCTGTAAAAATGGTAGCAGAGAAGACCCTCTAAATTACAGATGCATATCTTTAACAAGTGAGGTAGTCAAAACACCAGAAAAAAGTTAAAACCAAATTGGTAGAACACTTGGAGAGTAATGTTATAACAGACAGTATGATTTTCGAACAGGAAGATACTGTGTAACAAATCTACCTAGTTTTATGATAAAGCTAGAGATTCTACAGGCAAGAGATGGTTGGGCTGACAGTCTATCTGAACCTAAAAAGGGCTTTTGGCAGAGTCCCGCACAAGAGGCTACTTTGGAAATGAACATGCTGGAGGGGTGACAGGGAGACTACCGACATGGATTAAAAATGTTCTAACTGACAAAGATGAGGGCAGTAATTAGAGGCAATGTATCTGACTGGAGTATTACTAGTGGTGTACCACAGGGTTCAGTTCTTGCACTAGTAATGTTCATCGTCTACGTAAACGATCTACCAGAAGGAATACAGAATTGTATGAACATGCTGATGATGCTAAGCTACTAGGAAAGATAGACCTAGACGATTGTCATTATTATTCCATAACGTCATGTTATGGAATATGGACTAGGGAAAAACAGACCACACAACCTACAAGTTGTGTGGAAAGGAATTAAAGAATTCCAACAAAGAAAAAGATCTAGGAGTGGTTCTGGATAGCAGACTGTCACATGAGGAACATAAAGGACATTGTGTGAGGAGCATATGCTGCGCTTTCCAACTTTAAAATCGCTTTTAATTAGAGATGGTGAAATACTAAAACTCTTCATAACTTTTGAGACCAAAATTGGAATGTGCAGTAGTTGTATGGTTTCCATCTCTCAAGAAGCACATTCATAAACTGGAAAAGTTTCAGAGGAATGTAACAAAATGGCTTCCGGAACAGGAAAAACAAGAGCTACGAAGAAAGTCTTAGAGGTGTTAAATATACCAAAGCTAGAAGATGGAAGAAAGAGGCTATTAGCTAGAAGATGGAAGAAAGAGGCTATATGATCACCACTTACAAATAATAACAGGAATTGACCAAATTGACGAAGAGGAATTCCTGAAACTGGTGACCTCAAGAACAAGAGTGTCATAGATTCACGCTAAGGAAACAAAGATGGCAAAAAATGTTAGAAAGTTTTCTTCTGCAAGCAGAGCGGTAGACGGTTGGAACAGGTTAAGTGAGAAGGTGGTGGAGGTCAAAACCATCTTCTTGAGATATCTTGAGATGATTTCGGGGCTTTAGTGTCCCCGCGGCCCGGTCCTCGACCAGGCCTCCACCCCCAGGAAGCAGCCAGTGACAACTGACTAACACCCAGGTACCTATTTTACTGCTAGGTAACAGGGGCATAGGGTGAAAGAAACTGCCCATTGTTTCTTGCCGGCGCCCGGGATCGAACCCGGGACCACAGGATCACAAGTCCAGCGTGCTGTCCGCTCGGCCGACCGGCTCCTTGTACATTGAACCATCGGTACAATAGTTTCAAGGCATTGTACAGTAGTTTCAAAGCATTTTACGATGGTGCTGGGAAGAAGGGACACCACAAGTGTAGCTCTTGTCCAGTAACTACACTTAGGTAATTACACTTGTGAAATTACCCCCCCCCCCTCCCTTTTACATGTAAAGGATAAAATCCAGAGATTGAAATTTGAACAAATTCACAGTGAATGAAAAGGAAATATATGAACCACTAAATTAATATATAGTTACAAAGTGCATTTGTGCAAAATGAGGTTTTCAGAGGATCAGACACAATATGAATTTCAGAGCACAGCTTAAGAGTACATGGGAGTGCCTTAAAGAGTCAACATATAAAAACTGCTATAGGAGCTAGGAAGAAATGGGACATGCAGCCCAGATGGAGTTTCACTTGACTTCTGCTCACCCAAGCCAAGCATTCCACTGCAGTTAATTTTTCAGGCACCTTTACATTTAACAATCATAGCAGATTCATGTAAAAAAGACAAACTTTATTCCAATCTATAAAAATAGCCGAGAAGACTCTCCTAATTATAGATTTCTATTATATCATTGACAGGTATCGTAATGAAATTACTAGAAGTATAATTAAAACCAAATGGGTAAAATACCTGGAGACATTACATAATAATACAGGCAGTATGACTTTTGAACAGGAAGATCCTATGTAACCAATCTATTTAGACCCACAGAGATCTTACTGGAAAGGGATGGTTGGGTTGGGTGCATTTATCAGGACCTGAAAAGGCTTTTGACAGTGTCCCACTGAAGAGAATACAGTACTGTATTCCAGAAGCTGGAGAAGCTAGAGGGGCGTGTCAGAAGCATAGGTTTGTAAACTAGATTTGTATTACAACTGAGAGGGCTCAACTATGAGAAAGGTAGAGGGAACTTGCCTTGACAGCCTTATGGGGAATATGATCACCATACACAAGATCCTAAAAAGTCAAAGTGGACCAATTAAGCCTTTTTAAATTAACATGGGGTAGGATAAAGGGATATCAGTTGTATCTGGACACATAGTTATTGAGTCGTAGTGATGTAAGGAAGCTCTTGTTCCCTGTACATGTGGTCAGCAAGTGGAATGCTTGAAGGAAGGAAGAGGTTATTGAATCAAATTCCATCTATAATTTTAAGAAAAAATATGTTGAGAGAGGTAATTAGTGTGCCATGTATTAGAGCTTAGGGAGCGGGACATGAAGAGCTAGATCTCACTCCCTCATAGTCACTGTTAGGCAAGTACAATGTCACTACTGGGACTGATCATATTCCTTATCAATGTGAACAACCTAGCAGAGGGGATAGATTCCTTCCTCTTGATGGGTGCTGACGATGCAAACCTTATGAGTAGGATATACTGCACATGTGATGGAAGACTGCATGACACCTCAAGAGTACCTGGACAAAATAAAAGTATACTGTAGTCCCTCAAGTGGCCACTATTTATTTTATTTATTTATTTATTTATTTATATACAATAAGGTACATTGGGGGTTAAGAGAGTATATAGTAATGATGATTTTACATTCTTGTAAAGCCACTAGCATGCATAGCATTTCAGGCAAGTTCTTAATCTAACAGATAATTTTAAGTAGATAATTTCCAGTAAAATTGACAACAAATGATTACAGGTACATTGTAAGAAATTTTGACACGATAAACAAAGATTAGATTAGTACACAATAATAACAATACACTATAATAACACGAATTATTAGGTACATTAGGGTAAAATTTCAGGGTTATCAGTTGGTTCATTGTAGCACAATTTGAGGATCATTTCAAGGAATAATGCAGTAGAATATGCACTCAATATAACAGCCATGGTATCAGATGATATCAAAGATTATAATGGTAAGTTATATGGCTTAGGTACATATATTGGGGGATTGGGTAGCACTAGATACAGTGCGAGTTAAAGCACTAGATAGGAAACTATGAAGGTGAAATTAGGTACTTTTTGTTTTTGAATAAGGCAAAAGTTGGACAACTTTCAATTCGTTAGGGAGTGAGTTCCATAAAGTAGGTCCCTTTATTTGCATAGTGTTTTTACACAGGTGAATTTTGACTGTGGGGATATCAGAGATATTTATGTCTGGTGTGGTGATTGTGTTCTATTACAACTGTTCAACTCTAGTAAGTGAGCTACATAAGGGGGAACAGGAGGACAGTCACAAGGTATTACATGATGGAGGAAATCCTCCTAGAATTGTACAGAGTAAAAGATTTTAGTGTTATGATAGCAAACCTGTTGCCAGAAGGAACATCAAAAGAATATCTTCAGCTACATGCTGCATTTTGGCTAGTATAAGAACTGCTAGGAAATGGAGCAAAGTCGGTTATGTTAGACCAATTCTGAAGTTTGACATCTATGTGGTGTCGTTATCTTGTTAACCACAAAAATGAAGTTGGTGAGTGTTGAAGATATGACGCTAGACTATTACCAGAGGTGAGAGGTATGGGCTACAAGGAAAAACTAAAGGAGTTAAATCTCACATCACTGGAAGAGAGAAGAAACAGGTGGGGGCATGATTGCCGCATACAAAATGTCCACGGGTAGTAGAAAGGGCAGATAAGGACAGATTATTTAGCATGGGTAGTATGTACATGAAGATGGGGTTATAGATAAAAACTAAGCCCAAATTAACTACATACTAAAAGTTTTCAGTGTCAGAATAGTGAACAAATGAGATGCACTAAGAAGTGAAGTGGTGATGGTAAACTCCATACACAGCTTTAAATGTATATGTGACGGAGCCCAATAGCCTCTGGAACCTATATACAAGTTAATTAAGGTAAGGGTTGAGAGTTGGTACCCAAGAGCAATGGCTCATCATCACAAATACAACTAGGCAAATATAATTTGATGTACTTAACAAATACAGTACTTTTACAATTTCAGTTGTCAGGAGCAGGACGCTTTAAAATATCCAATTACAGGGTATTTATAAACAGATAACTTAAATATTTACAGTTTAAAAAGTTATTTTTGCATGTGTCAACACATGCCTCTTGTTGACATTAACTCATGCGAGCTAGTGCATGCAATGACTCGGTTGCATTTGATGTAGGGGTGTACAGTACTGTATTTGCCTTGAGTTTCATAGATAAATATGACGGCATGCAGGACATAAGGAATTCAAAGAGGCGGTCGGGTACACATAGGAACTCGCTTGCTCTCACTTTTCATATAACTAGTATTAGAGGGGGTACCAAGCAGTGTCCAGGTCTCTCTTATCCCCCTGTTCTTCTCTCTCCTCTCCTCCCACTCCCCTCTTCCCACTCGCATTCCCACTCCCCTCTTCCCACTCGCGTTCCCACTCCCCTCTTCCCACTCGCATTCCCACTCCCCTCTTCCCACTCGCGTTCCCACTCCCCTCTTCCCACTCTCTCCTACTCTTCCTCCATTTCACCACCTTTCTTCCCTCTTCCCCCCTTCTTGCCCTCTTCCCCTTCTCACCACCTCCCCTTTTTCCCTCATTTCACCCCCCTCCCCCTTTTCTTCCCCCCCATTTCACCCCTTTCCCGGCCATTTCACTCCTTTCCCGGCCATTTCACCCCCTCTTCCTTGCCAATTTTTTTTTAATTTACCCCATAATCAGGGAATAACATTTTAAAAATATTAGAACAAAATTGGTTTTTAAGAATTTTATTTTTCTTACTCATCAAGGGTTTGTCATGTAAATAATGTGTGTATGTGTGTGCGCACACGTGTGTGTGTGCAGTTTAGGGGGTTAAGGATAGCCTCACTTGTGGATTCTTAGAGTTTATCCCTCAGAGTGGTTCACTTTTGAGAGTTTGAATGTGCACAAATTCTCTCTTGCTTTTGTTCAATTTCGATGCAGTGCGAGGTGGACAGTGCCTTCTTAGTTTGTACTTGTATTATTTGGGCACTGCAAGTGGTTCTTTTTACCTCTGCATAAAACTGGTAGACCAATGTATGTGGAATAATTTCTAGATCAGGATGCTTTGGCAATGGTTGTCTTTTTGTCTGGATTGGAACCAATAGACCTTCCTTTATCTGTTCCTCTGGTTGAGGTTCAACTGCCCTGTTGTTAAAGTTGCAGTGTGTTGTTGGTAGGTCATTCTTTTGGCTCCCATGTGTCTGGTTCAGCCACTCATTGTCCCTTCCCCTTATGTTCTGTGTACACACAATCTTTTGAATAAATAATAATATTTTTTCTGGCTCTTCTCTCTATCGCCCTTGTCCTGTTCCAGTAATGAGGCTCGGCTTCTTGCAGACGATTGGTAAACAAACGTCTCTGGTTTCACCATTTTTTCAGATACAGTTTGTAATTTTTAGTGATGCTGTACTGTCACCTGTATTGGAGACAGGTGGCAAACATCCTGATCTACATCACTTGTCTTCGAGGGGGTAGCATGAGGTGGCAATTGTTTTTCCTTCTCTCAGGTGTCTAATATTGTTTAGTGCATAAAGTCATTTGTCTTGGCTGGTTTTGGACCACCACCTTGTTCTGAGTACTGTTGCCTCCTTTCAGTTTGTTTTCGTGGAGCCTTTCCCTGCTGGTTTTGGACAGATGGAACATAACAGTACTATAGTCTTGAGGCTTAGTGCTTTCTTTTAATAATTACTGTTATGGGTAAGATTTAACATCTGCACCCTTCATTTAAATTAGCTAGGGCATTTGTTTTCACTTGCAGTCTGTTCATGCTCCACTTAAGCTGGCCTGATAGTGTGTTTTGATATTAGAATTTTTGTATTCCTGACAGTTCAGGATCCCCTTCACTGGATGATAATATGTTTAAAGTTATCTTTCTCTTGGCTTTGGCCTTGGGTAATAGAGTAATGGAACTGTATTAACTTTGAACGAAGTGTGAGTACAGTACAGTACTGTACTTGTATTTTGGGCCGGCCAATTGCTTTTTCACGCTTCAAACTCTCCCTGCCTTCTTGGTTACCAAAATTCTGCATTGTGTTGGAGGCATGTGGTTGTGTGGAGGCATGGTTTGTGAGGTCTTGTGTGAATCATACCCGGTGTCGTGTTGCACCTGTGCAACGTTATTTGCAGGATACCAAAGCATCTCCATTCGATGCCCCTGTTCTTGATTTCAATTCAATTGTGGCTTGAGCAAAGACTCCAATGTCTTGTATTACAGTATTTACTGGGTCTATAAAGAGGCCATGAATTATGCAGATTGGTTGCTCTAGCAGCATTCCTCTCTTCTATATATACAGCCATTATAAGGACCCAGTGCTTCTGGCATTCTTAGAGGGTGTTAGCATTTCCCTATATTATTTGAGCTTCCTTGTCCTAGTTGATGCTGCCTGATGCTGGTCTGCCTGACTCATGTCTGATGTCTGTCACCCGGGCCCAGGTCCTCTCGTCATGGCTACTTCTGTTACGGGTAAGTCCCCCCTTCCACATTTGTCTCTAATATTCATGCTTTTGTGTTTCTCCCTCTAGGACAACTGTAGTATTATTTGGCACAGGGGGCTTGTCCAGATATAAAGCAATTAATTCAATAGCCTTTCTTGGTAGACCCGTGACATTGGTCTGTTCCTGCACAGTGTTTTCCATCTTTCAAGTTTGGTGGTAGCTTTACCCGAGTTTAGAGTTGTGTGGGCTACTACCTGGTTGTGATTGGGGATAGTTGGATTAGCAGATTAGTTTGTTCAGGGGTTTTGTTTAGTGATTGTTGCTAAAGATTACTCATACTGAAATTGAGTGATTTTATGCCTCCCCCCCTCTGCATTATTGCAGGCTGTTCACTTCAGTATACATAGTGAGTTGATTTCTGATCTCCATGAGCTCCTGCCTCATTGATCGGACAAGACATATTGAAAAGATCCTTGATGACCAAACCACACATCAGAAAATGTAGAAACAATGACGTTTCTTGATACTCCGTCCTGGACCATTATCAAGTCGTACTTGATAATATTGTCCACATGACCTGATAACATTCCAGGGCGACTGAAATGTTTTCTCCATTTTCTGATGTGTAGTTTGGTGGTCATATCTTCAGCCACGTTATTGTGACTCCACCGCTGCCACTGCCGCCGCCGTCGTCCTGCAGTCTTGGGAGTTGTGCTCTAGACACATCACAAACAATCAACATATTACTGGACATTTTGAGTGAATATATACATTTCCTCATTTACACGTGCAGTATGTTACCAGAGAGGTGTTTGCCACCTGGCAAACTCCACTCAATTCAATCCACACCAGGCTCTTGCGAATCATGTATATAATCCTACCCAGGACTCAAGGTCAAAATCTGGCCCATTCTAAAGAGGGGCAAGGAGAAGGGGATTATTAATCACCTTAACTAAGAAAAAGCTGCCAGAAAGGTGGGTGAATCAAAATGGACAAACAAATCATAGAAAACAGGACAGTGATGCCCCAAGATTAGCAAACCACTTGCTGGTTAATCGATTCACTTGTTAGTTCCACCTGAGCACCACCATGGGACTGTGGCCTTTTCTTCTCAATCCACCATCCTTGAACATTTGGCCAAATAGCCAGAAAAGTGCAACACCAAAACCCCTGAATTTAGTAGGGAGGGTCCCAAAGAGCCACTAAGGGCCCACTAGAATGAGACATTTCATTACATTCAATAGTGATTTTCTGGGAGGGAAACTATGATGGCTCCATGGTGCTATGTCACCATGAAGAAAACTAAAAGGAGTACCAGGGGGCAGAGGAAAGCCACAGAAAATAACCCCTAGGAAATGAGAGTTAATGATGAAATATCTACCCCCAGAGCAGGCCATGAACATTCACTAAGGAATGAGTTGCCAGCACCCTGGTGGACTGTCAAAACACCTGAGCTCAAATATCTGCCCAAGATATACAGAATTTGAAAAGCTTGCTAATAGAGCCACAAACTTAGGAACATGACTCTGAGGAGAGACTGCAGACTACCTTGTGGTTACCTATCAACACAAGAACTCTAAGCATGTGCAATTCGTGGCAAATAGTTATCAGTTTACACAAGACGTTAGACATAAATATACATGCATCGTGAGGCAAATATAAAAAATACAGAACAGATGGAAACAAATGGGTCACACAGGACAAAGAGTCGGGATGGCTAGCACTTTCCTTAAAAAAATAGACCCGAAGGGCAATGTGGTAGGAAGAGGAATGTAACGGCTGACATTAACATAAGTGGTGGGAAATATGACTGAGGGTTCAAGGATAGTGGATCGAAAAAGGAAGGTCCCCTGGTGATACGCAGGTGGAACTAATGTGAAAGCTGCTTTGCTACCAACTGGTTCATGGATCTCGGAGCTTTGCTGTTCTATATTTTATGATTTGTTTACCTTGCTGTTTGTTTTGGTTTGCTCACCTTTCTGGTCACCTTTCTGTGATTAATGATCTATGATCCCCAGCTCCTTGGTCCTCTTGGAGGGGAATGAGCGACAGGGAAACCCAGTTTTGGCTTGTGGTCCCTGAAAGGCTTGTATAGGACAAGCAAGGGCCTGGCATAGATTGAATTGGGTGGAGCTTGCCAGGTAGCAGGCACCAAGAAAGCACCATTAGGAGCCCTATCAGAAATGCTATGTTTTGGTATGTACTTACTTCATTGTTAGCATAATTAAATGAATGGAGGTCGAAGGTATTTTGAGGAAGGAATTAATGACTGCATTTTACACTAAATCCAATTGCACACTGTCACACCACACCTCACTCAATGATTTGTAATGCCAAAACTATTAAAGATAGCTATGATTTTCATTTATGTTTAAATTGAGTACTGTATATATAGTAAGTTTATAAAAAGAGAACAAATAACATTATGTATAGGAGATAGTCATTTGTCGTAATCCAGCAGGGATTATGAGATGGTGATCATGGTCAATATCACTAATCATCATCTTGCATTTCAACATCTGCTGGGATTATTGTGTGTGCTGGGTTGATATGTATGATGCAAGGGCATAATGCTTTGACCTTATACAGTGGTACCTCCGTTTACGATCGTAATTCGTTTCCAGAGATGCGTCGTCAACCAAAATGAATTTTTCCTTAAGAAATACTGTAAATTGAATTACTGTAAACCGTTCCACACCCCAAAAAATATTAACTTAAAAATACATTTTATACTGAATAACACTCATTTTGTGCTAGCTACAATACAGTACGTATATCTTACCTTGAATGAGGACTCTTGTTGTCGTATGGAAGACAGTGAGGAGGGGGGAGGGGAGGTGTTGGTGTTTGGAAGGGGAGTCCCCTTCCAATATAACAGCAGTAATGACATTTCTGGGGTACATTCTCTCTTACGTTTTGCAGGCATACCACTAGGACCTGGTTGTGGCTTACTGCATGCTTGCTTGTCTTACTAAGAATTTGTCTAAAGACACTTGTTTTTCCCTACGTTTTAACACTTCTGTAGTGTTAAGACTACAGACTGTGTGCTCTTGGTCAAGTATTACTGTATGCCCCAATAAAGTAGAGGGTGGAAGGATTACATCAGCTTGTTTAATTTATTTTTGGCTATGATGGCAATTAGTTGGGTAAATTAGTAAATATTTTATTTATACTGTACTACAGTGTAAGTTCAGGAAAATATTAACTAAATTTGCCAAATAATGCTAACCAAAATCTCAACAGCATGATGTATTGATGAAATTTTTTGGAGCAATGCAGTAGGACTAAACGCTAGTGCTAGTAGCCTTGTAAGAATGTAAAATCATCATTACTACTACATGTATGTGCTCTCTTAACCCCCAATGTACCTTCTTGTATATAAATAAATAAATAAAAATAAGTAAAACTAGTGTGTGTTCTCTTCAGACACACTACTGGTAGTACATGTGTTAGGGGAGGACAAAGTTGGGAGTTCTATACCACCATATTGCTACAAACTGTCTTTGTTAAATAATTCATTCTATAAACATAACAATATATATATATATTTTTTATTAACACGTTTAAGTACATCTGTATTTGTCCAGCTACTCTAGACTAAATGAAGGGGAGTACAGTGCTTGTCAAGAACTAGCTACATGATGCTAAAAATTCTCATCACACAGGATGGTTAATCATACAGGGCCAAGTGATCAGTAGCCTGCATTGGCAAATTTTGGGTGCATAATGAGGATATCTTCAAGAACATGAGAGTTAATCTAATAACTGGGCATTCAATACTGTAGTGCATGAGATCATGATTCAGTTCCTGCTCGCAGAATTTGCACTTGGAGTGTCCAGGATTTGGAGATTCATCACCTGTAGTCACCAGCCACAGGTAACCCTGAGCAAGCATGGTGTTGCACAGTCTCGTGGATGTTTGGTGCTTTCTCAAGGTTAAAAATATTATAAGTACAGAAGTGGAGTAATGATTGGCTGGAAATTATTATACCATACTGTAGCATAATTTATGCTACAGTATTGCTTAATGTTTCTTGTTTAATGTTTTACTAATGGCATACTAATTACCTAAGTGTAATTAGTATGCCATCAGTAAAACATTAAACAAGAAATCAATAATATATTCTCCTAAAAGCACAACAAGTCACAACTCGTGAAATAATATCAAATGGAAATCAGTACAGTATTGTATATGAAGTTCATTTGGAGTTCTCTGTAATGTCTTATATGACCCCTGATACATTAGAATTTTGGACAGTTTATCTTGTAACAAAATTAATAAGTTCAGTACAGTATATTGTTATATACTGTATATAACAATATATGTACAGTATATAACAGTACAATATACTGTATATAACAACACATTGATACATATCATATATCAGCACAGTATGCTGCATTGCTGTCTACAGTATCTTGGGATTCAAGATTATAATGCCAAGTTCAGTGCTGTGTAGATATTGACTAAAATTGTATAAAATATCAAATTCATTTCAGTCTTATTTAATGTTTTTATTTTTTTCCAACAGGAGGCACCTGCCATGTTTTTTCCTTCACCGTCTGTAAGTCGACCAGCATCCCAGTTGACCGAGGAAGAGCAGGTGAAGATTGCCAAGCGAATGGGGTTAATAACGCATCTTCCTTGTGGAATATTTGATGGCACTAAGAAGAGTGGAGAGTGAGTAAACTTATTTATGTATCATCTAGTTATGAGGGGCATTGTACTGTATGTAATTTTCCACAATACTTACTAGGACATAATTGATGATTGCATAAACAGGGAAGAGTGGAGGGGGAGGGAGGGAAGAGGGAAAAGGAAGAGGGGGTGGAAGGACGTGTGGAGAGAAGAGTGGAGTGTAGTGGAGAGGGTGGATATGAGGGGGAAGAGAGGGTGGAGATGAGATGAGGGAGGGAGGGAAGTAGAGGGTGGAGATGAGGGGAGAAGAGGGTGGAGGGTACCTTACCTTGCAATGATTTCGGGGCTCAATGTCCCTGTGGCCCATTCTCCAACCAAGCCTCCTTGTTGCTGGACTGGTCAGCCAGGCTGTTGGATGTGGCTGCTCGCAGCCTGAAGAATGAATCACAGCATGGTTGATCAGGTATCCTTTGGAGGTGTTTATCAAGTTCTCTCTTGAACACTGTGACGGGCCAGCCAGTTGTGCTCCTTATTGGAAGCATGTTGAAAAGTCTCGGCCCTCTGATGTTGATAGTTCTCTCTGAGTACCTATTGCACCTCTGCTTTTCAATGGGGGTATTCTGCACATCCTGCCGTGTCTTTTGGTCTCATGTGATGCTATTTCGGTGTGCAGATTTGGGACCAGCCCCACTAATATTTTCCATGTGTAAATTATTACTGGTATATACCGAGGAACCCCGAGTGACTAGCAGCCCCATCTACGAGTATTTCAGGTAATGAGCGAGCCACTTGTGGACAAATTCTCGATTGACGAGCTTCCGCTCAATTGACCAGCAAACCACTTGGTACGGTTCTCTCAAATTCTCGGACAAATTCAATTGTACTTTTCAAGTACAGTATAATTGAAAAAGAAAAACCCAACATTTATAATAATTACAAGTACAGTATTATAATTACATTATAAAATGTCATTGATGTTTTTCAGGGGTGAAACAGATTAATTTTATTTCCATTATTTTAAATGGGGAAATTCGTTTTGCAAGACAAGCGTTTCACATGACGATCTCGGTGCCAGAACTGATTAAATTTGTTAATTGAGGCTCCACTATATCTCTCCTGCCTGCACTCTAGAGAATACAGATTTAGGCATTTTAGTCAGTCCCAATAGTTTAGATGTTTTACTGAGTGGATTCTAGCAGTAAAGGATCTCTATATCCTTTTATATTTATTTTCGATTGGAGAACTCTATCAACATCAGAGGCTGTTCAACACTGTTCAACACGCTTCCACTACACATAAGGGGCATAACTGGCCGACCCCTCAGTGTTCAAGAGAGAACTGGATAAGCACCTCCAAAGGATACCTGATCAACCAGGCTGTGACTCATACGTCAGGCTGCGAGCAGCCGCGTCTAACAGCCTGGTTGATTAGTCCAGCAACCAGAAGGCCTGGTCGACGACCGGGCCGCGGGGACACTAAGCCCCGGAAGCACCTCAAGGTAACCTGAAGGAGGCATGCTGTGTCCTCTTTGTTGTCTATTCTCATAAAAATCCTAGTGTCATCTGCAAAGGATATGGTATTATAGCTTGTGTCCTTGTCTATGTCTGATATGAGAATGAGAAAACGTACTGGAGCAAGCAGAGTACTCTGGGGACTGAGCTCTTCACAGTTGATGGTCCAGAATTTTTGTCGATTATTACACATTGGGTTCTGTTAGTCAGGAAATTGTAAATCCATCTGCCTAATTTTTTGGTAACTTCTTTTGAACGTATTTTGTGTGCAGTAACACCATAGTCACATTTGTCGAAGGCTTTTGCGAAATCTGTGTAAATTACATCAGCGTAATAAATAATTTTGTGGTGATGAGCGTCAAAAAGTGTCCAAAAGTTCAAATATTTGTTAAAATTCCATTTATTGTTCTATTATTATGGGACTAGTTTTAAAATACGTGCCTTTATATTGCGAACAATTTGATATCAGAATGAAAGACGTAACACAAAAATTGATATCAGAAAGAAAATAAACACTTTTGTGGTCCAAATTTTTAAATATTTACTAAAATTCCATTTATTGTTCTATTACTATGGGACTAGTTTTAAAATACGCGCCTTTGTATTGCGAACAATTTGATACCAAAATGAAAGACTTAACACGAAAAATGGTGTCAGAACACTGAAAATATATAAATAATTTTGTGGTGATGAGTGTCAAAGTTAAAATATTTGTTAAAATTCCATTTATTGTTCTGTTATTATGGGACTAGTTTTAAAATACATGCCTTTATTTTGCGAACAATTTGATATCAAAATGAAACACGTAACACGAAAATTGATGTTATCAAACTGAACGAGTGTATACATTACTCTGCAGGTGTGCCAATTGGTGCTCGTTCACCGGTAACGTGGCCGAATTTAGACTTTGCCTAAATCTCGAGAAGCACATAAACTAACTGGAAAAGGTGCAATGGCATGCTACAAAATAGCTTCTGGAACTGAAAAGCACGAGTTACGAGGAGAAACTAGAGGCGTTAAACATGCCAAAACTAGAAGATAGAAGAAAAAGATCACCACTTATAAATACTAACAGGAATTGACCAAATTGACAAGGAAAAATTCCTGAAACCAACAACTTCACGAACAAGAGGACACAGATTCCTGCCAAGGAAATATAGGTGCCAAAAAAATATTAGAAAGTTTTCTTTTGCAACAGAGTGGTTGACAGTTGGGACAAGCTAAGGGAGAAGGTGATAGAGGCCAATACCGTCAGTAGTTTCAAAGCGTTATATGAAAAAGATTACTGGGAAGACTGGACTCCACGAGCATAGCTCTCATCCTGCAACTACACTTGGGTAATTTCCAGATGCTGCAAGCCTTGTTACAGGGCAAACGGCCATTTCCGGCCTTATCTGAGCTCTACGCTCTCGCCCACATCCAAACTCTTCACCTCCAACTTTGCTGAAGCTCTCTGCTTCCAGTCACCTTTAGTACCATGTCCTGTCTGCTCTGCCAGCAGCATGTAACAAGCATCCTCTTCTCAACCTATCAAGACGTTATGCCATTTATAACATGCAACATCTGTAACCAAACTATTAAACATCAAAAGCCAATGTACTCTTTGAATATTGGCACCAAAAAGTGTACGTTACAGTACAGTACTGTACCATCGAGATACAAATAATATTGTCATTGCTTTGCTGTCTCTGTGGATTTTAGTTTCTCCAGTTTCTTCAGTATCTAAGCCGTTTATCAATATTACACTGCCTGCAATAGTTGTATTTTGCAGTTCTCTTAAATATGGAGCTCCAGGAAATGGGTCTCGAGGCCAACTGTTGGGAATGTTATCCATTTCTTTTTCAAAGTCTGTGGGGTTTGTTTATATTTGGAATTGCTCTGTAGTTTGTGCAACAATCAGAAAAAAAACTGACTGATTAAAATTTGTTTCATCAGGATTGGGCCCATTTCTATGTTGTAGCCATGAATGGGGAACGGAGCCGGTCGGCCGAGCGGACAGCACGCTGGAATGGTGATCCTGTGGTCCTGGGTTCGATCCCAGGCGCCGGCGAGAAACAATGGGCAGAGTTTCTTTCACCCTATGCCCCTGTTACCTAGCAGTAAAATAGGTACCTGGGTGTTAGTCAGCTGTCACGGGCTGCTTCCTGGGGGTGGAGGCCTGGTCGAGGACCGGGCCGCGGGGACACTAAAAAAGCCCCGAAATCATCTCAAGATAACCTCAAAATGACAATTACATAATTTTTTCTTTGGACTGAGATTTCTAATGTATCCACAGTACTTTTACTTTATCATTTTATAGTTTTGTCTATTTCATACTTTGTTGTAGCTTGTAGCACATGTATTTTATCTGACATTCTATTTACATATTTCAGGTGTGTGATCTGCATGATAGACTTCACGGTGGGGGATCGAGTGCGTTATCTACCATGTATGCATACGTACCACACAGAGTGCATTGACGACTGGCTAATGCGCTCTTTTACATGTCCATCATGCTTAGAACCTGTGGATGCAGCTCTGCTTAATACCTATGGGACTAGCTAGCCATGTGCAGCTAATAGAAAGGGTTTGCTCAGGATTTCCTTTCATTTGTTCCTGGCTAACAGGCGATATTGGTACTGATTTTAGAGGTTACTTAAATTGCACTTGACAAAGGTATGTGATAGCTATCTATCACTTGTTTATCTTAGCATTTTGTAGGGGATCCTTTATAGTGAAGATTAGCAGAAATTGGTAAATACTCTAAATATTCAATATTTTTGTTAGTTCATACATGTGATTAACAATCCTGAAGTACCTACTGCAGTTAAATTGTTTTGGATACAAACTGAATACATGTTCCTCTGTAGTTCCTGTTTATATTAAATGTATTAAGTTTGATTTTTTTTTATGTCGAGAGAGCAATGCCTCCAAAACCTAGCTTCACATTAGCAAAGATGGGCTTAGAAATACTTTTCTCTGGCTTTGTATTTTTTTCTTGTGCAAAACATACATTGGAATAGATGTGCTTTTACATTGTACTTTGTTGAGTTATTTAAATAAAAAATATAAATGAGTGAGAGGGTGTGCAGGGTCAAATATAGCATGAGGGAGGGCGACTCACGACTTTAGTTAAGGATTTTACACAGTCAGACAGGCAGTCATAAGGCAAACAATTAGAAAAGTTTTTAATTATGTCGTAAATTATGCCGAAAACTGCCTCACGAGTGTATAAACAATAGTTATACTCTAAACAGTAACATCCATCGGGGTATAAGATAGCATGCGTAAAAAATGGATGGAACTTGGGATAATTGCTCGCAGAACAGTACTGTTAATGACTTGTTGCCTTTGTGGTTACCAACATTTTTCCCAATTTGTAGTTAACAGTTGCATAAGGTGGTTTACAAATTTTTTTTTATGCTTGATAGTCTCTTGTAATATAAAGACAATTTACAGCTATATGAAAAGAATTGCTTCATGCTTCATCCAGTGGAAGGAGAATGTGTGCTGCATTCTGTACATTGCATGACTTAAGTCTATAGTGGCTCTTGGCTCGAGTTGTACAATGTGTCTTTATTAAACAAATATGCAGACTATAGTGTAGTATATAAATTCTTAATAACAGCATGGTCAAAGACTGTATTACCATAGTAGGTAGTGGTTACTTTGTATTCTTGTATGTGGAGAAGTACATCAAACTTGGTATTTTGTTTAAACAAAATTTGTATTGTACAGCTTCAAAGCTCTTGTGTACATTCGTGCATACTAGGCAGGTTATATTAGCTGGTTTAATTTAAATTGTCCTGGGTAAAAGCATACCAATAATAGTAGCATTTTTGTCAAAAATAAGATTTGAGTGTTATTTATTATCATTCTACAGACTAGTTTTGATCCCACAGTTGATAAGAGTTGTAGGGTTATATATTATCTGATTCAGTACGTAAATATCTGCTGGGCATTATCAAGAGCTACCTTTAACAATTGTTACGTATACAGTAAGTGTGTGATAAAAACGATTTATCATGGAGTTTGCTAAGCCCTTTGGTGACGAGTATTCCTCTGGAATTATCAAGATGACATTGTCAGAAGCTAATAATATGCAACAAGCTAACTACCCAAATATCACATTTGTATATGTATATACAATAAGCCAAAGCAGCACATGTAAGAGCCTACATATTAAAACGGCATCATTCATATTTTTCGCTGCTTTAGATTGTCATGTTTGTTCCGCTCAGATCCTTAACCTTTGAAATACACACATCATCTTAAGAAGATCGATCCATGGTACATATATCATGCCAAGGCATTTTAGGTACTTTGCAACAATTGAAACTATTGCGGGTGCACAGGGTTCCCAATTATGCAAGGCCTCCAATAAATATCTATCTTGAAAAGTGGACAAGATTTTTTGGAAATATTTCCTCTCCTCAAGGCATGGATTTTAACACTACAGGAAGGCCAAAAAAAAAAAAAAACTTTTTAATTGTTTATTTGCCTAGAGATACTTAATTTATCTTACACGCATTTCAAGTGTTAAGGCCAAGACAGTATTAGAACTTGTATATGTCTTAACCACCCTACTTTTCTTTTTCCATCTCTCCATACCACTCTTGTTTTGTCTGATGTCTTTCTCAGAGTTGCCTTGTGCCGAGGCTCATCATACACTTTAATTTGTATACTGTAATATCATTTCCTGCTGCCTGTCCCACAAAGTCAGTGTTGTTGACATAGAACATAGCCCCAATTGCATCCTTCCTTCCTTGCTCCTTATTATTTATATAGGCATGTCAAAAAGAATTGCATTTTTTAAGATTCAAGTTTTATGAAGACCGAAGCAACATTTAATATACATAAAATGAAAGTAAGATACAGGGGTAATGGTATATGTATCAAGTTTTTACTAATTTTCTGTATAAAAATATATTCCTTAGGCGATCATGAAATTGTTTTCATCTCTCCATGTTGATGGTTTTGTTAGTCGGTACTTTCCAGTAGGTCTTGAGGATTTAGGAAGACCAAACTAGCAACAGAGGCACATGGAGACTGGTTTAAATGATAGAGAACAAACATACATGATACTTGGAAGATCATATATTGTGACTTAACAATGATGAGATTTTATTTTTTGTATTACCAGTACAGTGTATATACAACGTGCAGAACATGGAATAGCACATAACCTGTTTATATCTTTCACAGGAAGCTTTAAGGATGGTTGTACAGTCAATATCCCAGCCCAGTCTTTTGATTTCTTCCCTGTAAAAATTGCAATGGTTTAACCTAATCCCAAGTGTGAAACACTACCCATCCCACCTAACCTACCAGAGCTGATACTCATCAGTATTGCTATATTTTTAATTCCCCTAAATCACACACAATTTTACGGTGGCTATGATTCTGTGAAAGATGTAGTGCATTCAATAAGTGGATGGGTTGAATATCCATCTTTATATAATAACTTGGCCGAGCAACACATTAAAACACGGGAATTTTCAATATTTTAATTCATATTTATGGTGGGTATTGTCATTCACAGAAGATCATTAGCCAACGTTAGGCATCCTATGAAGAATACTACAAGAATATTGTAGGTTCACTTAAAGTGACTAGGTCAAATGGTCAGCCTCTAGTGGGAAGCCCACTGCCCCCCATATTATCCATATCCCTATTTCGTAGATTCTCTGGTTGATGAGACAAAAATCTAGTTTAATAGTGTTTTGGATAAAGGGAAAGTGGGCTCTACTTCTCTTAACCTGGAACATTTTGCCCCGTGTCTGTGACAGTAGATACCCCATATGAATCAAATACGTTGAACCAGACCACACACTAGAAGGTGAAGGGACGAAGATGTTTCGATCCATCCTGGACCATCCTAGAGAATGGTCCAGGACGGACCGAAACGTCGTCGTCCCTTCACCTTCTAGTGTGTGGTCTGGTTAACATACTTCAGCCACGTTATTGTGACTCATCACCTGCATATGGAACCAAATACATAACCCAAAAATGTATGTGTTCTCTACATATACTGTACAGTGGTGCATTCTTATTAAAGTACTGTTACAGGTATTTTTATCTTGTGCATCTATTAAAATACTTTCTAAATATAAAAATGTAGATGTATCTTTGATACCTGTATGTCTTTCTGTACTTAGAAAATATTTGAATATTTAATTTTTAATATGTACTATACATTGAAATTACTTGCTGGACTCGGAATATGATAGGTGGTACTAGGATGAAATTATAATATTTGAACATAGGGGAGTCACGATCTTAAAAGTAAAATGTGAACATGTGAGTTTTTCACCTCGATCGTTTTCCAGCAACTAGAGTATTAGAAATGTTGCCGCAACAAAGGAACAGTAAAAGTCTTATGAGGTAACTCTTCAGGATCCTGTTGAATGTGTTTTGCTGTGATAGACACAGACTTGTGGCCTGAAAGCAGCTATTCCTGGCTTCAGGTTAGGCTGCAAGAATAAAAAATAGCTGTCTAAATTGTCTAAAAGAAAATCTCGCTCATTTGTTCCTATGTGCTTACATTACCACGCGCATTTCTTTCATATTTGAAAGCATAAATCAGCATAAATTTTTAGTTTGTTTTATTCTGTGCTTGTGTTATACTCTCGTATGTCTAGATTGGAAGTTGACTGTCATCTATGTAATCTTTTCCTCACACTCTTGGTAATATTGAGCAAATCCGTAGGAGCAAAGATGAGGGTTTGAACCTATGTGGTGGATGTTCACATGCTTATAGGGACTAGATCACGACATGGTATAACAATGGCAACCTGGAGTTTTACTGAGCACACAAGGATTTCCTGAGGCTTTTACTGAAGCCAGAACAGGATTTTCACACAATCATCCCCCATTTCTCATTCTCAATTCTTTCATTCTCCCATCTATTATAGTTTAGCAGTGATTTCTGTTCACTTTTGTTATTTTTTTTTTTTTTTTTTTTTTTTACAAAGTGTATGTCATAAAACAAATATTTTCTACAACTGATAAGGAAAATCTCAGTGTTCTGCCTGACATTTCTCAATCTGCCACAACACATACTACAGTCTCATGTGACCTGTAGTGAGAGTGTGCATTGGTCAGTGAAGTCACCTCGCAATGAAATGGGTCTGGGTTCGAGTCCTGGGCAGGATGAGACATTAGGGCACATTTCCTTAAACAGTATATAGGTATCTTGAGGTTATCTTGAGATGATTTCGTGGCTTTAGTGTCCCCACGGCCCGGTCCTCGACCAGGCCTCCACCCCCAGGAAGCAGCCCGTGACAGCTAACTAACACCCAGGTACCCATTTTACTGCTAGGTAACAGGGGCATAGGGTGAAAGAAACTCTGCCCATTGTTTCTCGCCAGCGCCTGGGATCGAACCCAAGACCACAGGATCACAAGTCCAGCGTGCTGTCCGCTCGGCCGACCGGCTCCCCGATGAGGGAAGGTACCTAGGAGGCAGGAAACTGTTGTGGGTTGTTACCTGGAGAAGGTTACTTGTTGGGTTAGGGGGGATCACAATTACCTGACCCGGCTCATTGTCTCTGATAATGGGAACCAAATTATTTCCTACTCGTATAATTGCTATTTCTTTTCCCAAACTTTAATAAATATTATTTACTTAATGTTTCTGAAATTTGTCTTATTTTTCTTATTGACATGATCACAGGCACACAAGTGATTTTGCCCCAGTCAAGAAGTGTGTGGGTGCCAAGCCTTAATTCACCCTTGTTCACCCAGCTGTGTTTGGGAACTTTGTTGTTAACTGATTGGTGGGTCCTGTTCCAGGGGAAACTAGTGTAGTAAGGTAAGGCTTAACATGAGGAATGGGAAAGGAAAGCTCTAATTCTTCTAACAAAAGTCAGAAGTTGTCTATTTCTGTACCTACCTGTGTACAAAAAAAGGGGGGGTATTTTACTCCGTTCTTACTATCTGCATTATAGTAAACATTACTAGAGTTTACGTGCCCACATCTTGTTACAGTTTCATGCTTTTCATCACCTTATAAGTGTCTATCACTGCTACTCTGTATTTGTCTTCCATAGCCACTACTACTTTTTCCCTCTTCTAAAGGCTTTAATAAATTCCTTTCTTTTGGTCTCTTCTATCACATATGAGCCGAGAACTCGCACATATCTGAAGCTTTCCCTTCTGCTACTCTCTGGTTGTAACTTTGCTTGTTGCCAGCCGCGTGTTGGGAATTATAAGAACCAAATCTTCGTCAAGCATATGTATGTGTTTTGAGAACTTCCTAACTGATGGGACTTAGTATATCCATGCATTATAATGTCTTCTCGTTTCATTCAAGTGCAGTAAGATAGGTTTTTAACTTGGCCATTTTTGAGGATGCCATTACTAGTTAAATGAGATGACCACACTTAGGTTTTTCTTAAAAAATTGAAATTATCATATTTTTTATAAGCTCCTGTATTTAGTAACTAACATCACAAAGGACATAAAATAGACAGCTCTGTGAAATGCAGATGGTTTTGATGTAGAATAAAGTATTCATTCAATTCAAAGAACAGATAAAATTAAGAGTATTGCAGAGTCTAATACTCCAGCTTACAAATGTGGGAAATTTAAAAGGTTGTAGTTACTTAACAACCTATTAACTTTAAAATGGCAAAATGCATTGTAAAGTGTAGTCTGGAACTGCAGGCAATATGCTTTCTTGATTTAACTTTTGAATGGATGTACAGTACAATATTGTACTTGCTGGATTATCACAACAGTGCATGGTATCTTGACCTACCATTCTTTACACCATAGGGGTTCTGAATGGTGCTTAACTCTGGCAAGTATTGAGAAAGAGTTAATTTACAGTTAATTTACAATTTACAGAGAAAGAGAGGTAGGTTTGGATCTTTTAACGAGGATGAATTACTGTTCAAGGATGAGTTCCAGCACCTCGTCTTGAATGAATGATGGTAGAATGGCTCTTGTTACCACTTCCTTGCAACTTGGCAATGCTAGTGAGTTCCAGCATCCTGGAACATCAATAAATTTAGAAACATTAAGTTGCATTGTTAGTGGCAGCTGGTTTTGAAGTACCATCTCTTGTTCATGGTTCACCATTTGGATGAAATGGGAGGGAATATTGTTCCTTAACCCTTTGTCTGCAACACGGTCACCTGTCCCTCGATAGAATTCTTGGTGACTCGGATACTTTTGATATCGTTCGCCTTATGCGTTTTTGTTCTCGTATTGGCATCCTTGGTGATATTTAGCGCCCTCTGATTATTTTGCGTATTTGATGGTGCTACATAGCCTTCCCGGTTTGGTGCGTTCTTTTGATAATTACTTACTTACTTGTCTGCAACACTATTTTTAAGTTATTTCTATCAAAGTTAAAAGTCCAACCAAAAAGTTTCATAACCAAAAAGTTATGAAATTCCATGTTTATTACAATTTTTACAGAGTACATTTTTCTAATAGAAAACATTGTCCAAGCGACCTAAAACCAAGATATAAGTGTAGCCAAGAGGTGTATTTTCATTATAAATGCCATCAATCATAAACATTCATCTTTTGCAATTTAATACGAACAAGATGTGCCCTTTCCATACATGCCGTGACAAATTAAAGGGGTTTAGATGGTAAAAAAAACAAACGTTTTCTCAATCCTCATTGTATAATATAACCTGTAAATATGTGTATTAGTAACTCTGTAAAAATGAGTGAAAGGCATTGAAAAATGTGCCGGCACTGGGTGGTTATCTTGGTTATCTTGAGATGATTTCGGGGCTTTAGTGTCCCCGCAGCCCGGTCCTCGACCAGGCCTCCACCCCCAGGAAGCAGCCCATGACAGCTGACTAACACCCAGGTACCTATTTTACTGCTAGGTAACAGGGGGCATAGGGTGAAAGAAACTCTGCCCATTGTTTCTCGCTGGCGCCCAGGATCGAACCCGGGACCACAGGATCACAAGTCCAGTGTGCTGTCCGCTCGGCTGACCAGCTCCCTAACTGCACTCTGCACTGGGTGACTGCACTCTCCAAAAGCATATATTGAAGCATTGACACTTTTTATAAACATTGCATTGAAGCATTGACTCTTTTTTTATAAACTGGATTGGCATAGAAGGTGAGCCTGGCAGCCTGAGGCAACCCATGTGCATTAAGGCATGCATTTGCTTGGTAACTTTCTCTTGTACCAGCTTTACATGATCCTGCCGTGATCTATGTCAGAAATCTGATCTGGGGAGCCGGTCGGCCGAGCGGACAGCACGCTGGATTTGTGATCCTGTGGTCCTGGGTTCGATCCCAGGCACCGGCGAGAAACAATGGGCAGAGTTTCTTTCACCCTATGCCCCTGTTACCTAGCAGTAAAATAGGTACCTGGGTGTTAGTCAGCTGTCACGGGCTGCTTCCTGGGGGTGGAGGCCTGGTCGAGGACCGGGCCGCAGGGACACTAAAAAAGCCCCGAAACCATCTCAAGATAACGCTTTAGTATTTTCTTATGGGGGAATGATGATTGCTGCTTTGTCGTCGAGCTCTTTATAGAAGCTCGGTACAGTTGCATCTGAATGAAATGCATAGTGTTGAAGTTTATTTAATTTTTGTTCATTATAAATAATTTGCGTTTTGCCTGAAAGTAAACGAGGAAAAGTTGATAAATATTAATGCGTAACTGATTATGATGATCTGAAGCAGAATTTTTGGGCTGCATGTATAATATTGCAGATAAGGTGTGAGTATGGAATCTATAACTGTTAGATAATTGGAATAGGTTTTCCCCATAACGGTATTCTACTATTTCGTTGTGATGTATTCATACTGTACTTAATTGTGTTAACTACTGCTACTACTATGCTGCAATTTCATTCATAACGACAACGATTTATTCAAACAATACAACCACTGTTTTTCCCATACGTAGAACTATTATTCATCTGGCATTTATGTGAAAGACGCTACAAAAAAATGCATTTGACAAACCTCCTTTTGCTTGTTCCATATGACCAGTATAGCTTATTAGCCCTGTGCTTATTAAATGTGCATTAGTTTGATTCAAGTGCAGTATTTGTGGAACTTCAAATCTTGCCAACATTCTCTCTATATTTTATAGGGATCCGTACAATTATGACTATAGATATAATAATACTTGGTTTATCTTTGACATAAAACACACACAATTGCACATCGCAAACAGGAATTAATAGGATATTTGCAGTTTTCCTGACAGTGTGGTGATGGGAATTAATGAACGGATCACTTGGCATAAGCATTCAAGAAAGTGTCTGTTGGGGCATTTAGTTTTTACCATAGTCCCATGATTTATATTGATTATTAGGGCCTGTTTGAAAGAACATTTTATTCTAATGTGACCATTAGATATTAATGCATTCTTTATGACTTTGCATTGTTGATCTTTGTGACAAGAATTTCTAAAAGGAGAGTGAAAATGTCGATCTTGAGTATAAATGACAAGATATTGTAGTTTAAAATTAATGTACTTGAAATAATGTTCTCTCAATTTTATTTTTATCAAATATTTTTGGTGAAATACAATTCTTGGACTGGGAAGCAACTCTTAGAAGAGAATAGCAGATTACTGTACTTTTATTATGTTTAGTTGGTGCCTTAAT